GTAGCAACATACATGATTAGAAACACAGCAGAAAATATTTTCCTCAGCTCTGGGTTCTCTGTAATACCCAAAAGGATGAATTCTGTCACATTGTTTTTGTTTTCCATTTATCAGGTATTGACATGAGTTCCAGCTGAAAGTTGGGAAACCTAGAAAGAAAATATGAAGTTTTATTTAGTGATTATTATTATTAGACCTCTTGTATTTCCAAAATCTTGGGGACCTTGTTCATAATTATACATTTACTCACCCTCCAAATACTTAACTTTTTTTTTTTTGGAGAGGTTTTCGCTATAGGGTGCGTGCGCTCGCCAGACAGACAGAGAGAGACATAGAGACAGAAAGCAAGAAATCACCCCCCAGGGGGGATGGTCACGCCACAATCCCTTCTCCTCCATTCTCCTCTCGGGATCTTGGGCACACACGCACATGCACCCGGCGTGAGTTCTAAGCCACTGGGTCTGGACGCGAACTGCAGTCGACTACGTGGGAGTCCAGCAACATAGCCATTACGCTAAGTGCTGGTTCCCCCCAAATACTTAACTTTTAAGAACCTACTAAGTAGGGACCAGCAGGTGGCATAATGATTATCTTCCTGGACTTCCATGTATTCTACCATGGTTTGATTCCCTGACCCGTCGGCTTGAAACTCACACTTGGCTTGTGTGCACGTGCCTCCCAAACCCTGAGAGAATGGAGGAGAAGGAATTGCAGCATGGCCGTTGCCCCTTAGGGGGTGGTTTCTTGCTTTCTCTGGCAAGCACATGTGCCCTAAAGCAAAAATCTCTCTAAAAAAGACTGTACTAAATAAAGAGTTTAAAATTCAGATACTTCATTAATGCTAGTTCACCTCATGTCTCTTCTCCCCTCTTTATAAGTAATTCTTTCATAGGAATTAATTTCTCTTTATCCTTCTCCTCCATTTATAATTAATTTTAAAAGAATTATTTATTTAATTATTATTATTATTATCATTATTATTGTTGTTAATTTTGCTACAGGGCACATGTATTCACCAGAGGGATAGAGAGAGAGTGAGAAAGAGAGAGAGATAATGGGAAAGCAAGCCACTAGGTCCAGGACTCAATCTACTGTCAGTCATGTTGGAGCACAGTGCTTTAATCACCTCGCCACCTGCTGGCCTCTTTAATTGTTATTTTTAATAGCCAACTTTTTGGAGCACCTACCTCATTCCAGACACTGGAATAACTCTACAAGTAACTTTATATTACATAGGAAAAACAAAAACAAACAAAAATAAAACTCACTGTTATGGAGTTTAGGAAATGTAATCAAGTTTGCATAGACAGTGAATGGTGAAGCCAGAAATGTGCACAATATTTTCTGAGATTCGAATCAATGTTCCCAAATATCAATATTGCTTCTCTTATAATTATACTGGGAGTTCATTATTTACCTATGATTCTGCTAAATATATTATAGTTATTAACCCGTTTTATCTTAAAAACTATCATTTAAATGGAGTTACTCCTTCTGAGCTCTATTTTCAAATAATATGGTCATTCTCTTGCTTTTTTTCTAAATGTCAACATCTGCCTAACACTAATCATTATATAGTCCTTGACTAATATCATTCAGTGATGAAGATTACAAATGCTGATGGTGTAGCAAAGGTCCAAATGTATAATATAATGACTCAAAGGAATCAATCCAAGTCATTGTTACAGTATCCTCTCATAAATAGATCATAGAATTCCTTGTTGTAATTTTGATCACAGCAAGGAGACAGATGGTAGCAAAGTGGTAAAACATGACACTTTGAAAGGCTTACCCACATGGGAAGGTCTCAGATTTACATCTGGAGGCCTCCCTGATTATGCTGGACATATGTATTCCCATGGTCTGGGGCTGGCTGAAGTTGGAGGTAGATCATGGCAATAAGACCATGTTAGGGGTGCATTCTCTCTCTTTCTCTTTGGCTTATGGAGGACATATGAAAACACACTGGGCATGCATTCAATAGCCTGAGCTCTGAGAGGATGAAGGATTGGAAAAATGGGATTGGGCCTTGACCAGAGCCTGGAGGGGGCTTTCTCTTCTTTCCCTTTCCTTATCACTTTCATACGCCCATGCTGCATTATGTCCTGTGTACAGGAAAATATCTAAAAAAAATCATAACAACACCTAATTCATTAACTTTTAGGTTGACTATATCTTGGGTCACTGTTGCAGATATGGCAGATGCATTTTACCTTAGTTAAACTTCATGATATCGCATGCAGTACCTTTACTATTTTTATTGCAAAGAAAAAAACTGATGCCCTTGAAATTTAAACAGCTTGCACTGTATTATATAACTATCATGCCATGGTGCTTTTGATATTATAGCTCAAATTTTTATCTACTCTACTCTGCCATTGGAGCAAAGAATAGATTATGTGGTGTTTCAGAAAAATTTCTACTGCAACCAATAGGAAATGTTTTAATGAGAACCTGCTTCCTATTACAGAAGACTCATAAAGAAAGTCTGGCTTCCACATTTAGGAATTTTGCAGAGTAGTGCTTTACAATGATATTTGAATTATACCTCTCTGAGACTTCTAGAAGGTCACTCCTGCTGTGTAATCACTCACACGATTTCCACCCCTTACACAAAGTGCAGAATAGCAACAGGAGACTGGAAGCATCCTGTGTTATTTAATCTCATCTTCTCTCTCTCTTAGTCCAATAACAGAGATCTTTCTTGGAGTAGCCCTTGTGAAGTATAAGGAGCTCTGACTATACAGTCAGGAATGAGAATTAGGATTCTAGTTTGTTTCTATTGCTGTGGTTTGGGCATGCTGTTGGCATTTATGAGCCTCAGGTTCCTCACTCGCAGTATAAGAATAGTGGTTTATCCTATTTCTAACCCTAATGACTGAATACCGCACTAAGTAATTTATAAAGAATAGAAGTTTGCTCAGCTCATGAACTTGGAGGTCCAAGGTCAAGAAGACACACCTGCTGAGGGTCTTCTTGCTGCTGGGGACTCTCTGCAGAGTCTTGAGGGGGCACAGGACACCACATGGTGAGATGTGCCATGTCTGAGTGCCATTCTCTTTCCACCTTATAAATCTCCAGGATCCAATCATAGAGGCTTCTTCCTGATTACCTCATCTAATCCTAATTAGGTGGCTCATTTCATGTATAAAGAATTGAAAACTGCAGCTCTAGGTAATATCTAAGCCCTGTCTACCTGAGATTTCAAACTTAGAGCAACTCCCTTTTGATACAGAAAAAAGTTGAACTTTCCCACCTAATATTCAACTCCTATCACCAGGTCCCTCTCCATTATTTATTGGAATTAATTTCTATCTCTCCACTTTATTTATTCCATTGTCAGTCCCAGCCACATAGAGCAAGAAAACTCCATTTCTTTCCACACCTGTCTTTTTGTCCTCACGAAATAGCCCTTGATTAAAGCACAGCAAAGGGACTTGTAAACCTCAGCCAGGCTACTACTGACTTTGTAATCTCAACCTACTCAAGCCTCAATTCTGCAGCAGCACAGTGGTGTGGTGATGAGGGTAGCTGGATCCCACATGGCCAACTGCACAGTTCAAGTTCCAGACCTGGGAGTTTGAAAAACACAATTGATGCCTAGTCACGCATGCCCCAAAGAGGGAAAAACAGGGAAAGGATTAAGGTGTGGTGGGGCCAGCCCCCAGGGGTTGCTTTCTCACTTAGTCTCTCTCTCTGTTTCTGTCCAGTGAGTGCACATGACCAATAGCAGAATTTATAAAAACGAAGAAAGAAAATTAAAAATTGTCCAACTTTTTTATAGTTTCTTTGCAGGCATGTGATTAACTCCAAAACGTAGACTACTACCTGCTATGCCTTTTAGCTCCCCCACTCACCCCTGCAATACCTCTGCCTCCTGACCCCTGCTGTAAAGGTTAAAAAAGGCAACATTCATAAAGATTGAGAAAACGGAATTCACACATTTAAATTGGTTTCCTGGTTATGTCTTTATGTCTATCAGCTCTAGCTTTGCCTATTGCCTTTACCATGACCTGTATCAACCTTTTCTTCTCAATGGCTGTCATAACCTTTACCACCCAAAGTACTTATTCCACCTTCTCATAAAATATTGTTTTTGCCATGTCATTATTTCATGTTTATAACTCATTTTTCTTTTTTCCACAGGGAAATATACTTCTTATGCCTTTCTCAAAATCCCTAATAGAATGATAAGCACATATTGAGCACCAAAACAAGCCAAGACATTTCGTCAGTTGGAAGAAAACTGCAAAGAGCTGGGTGGACATAGGTAGTAGAGCCACCCCAGCCTCCAGGTGTGACAGCAAATTGGTCCTCATGGTCTGGCTGTGATTTCTCAGTCAACCAGGCTCAATGAGGCCATTTAATCTGGCCGGGTATTTGTTGTTTTGTTTTTGTTTTTGTTTTACCACTTGAATGCTTAGATAATCCTCAGCCAAAATTACGAACTTCATATTACCTTGAACTCCAGTCAGTCCAGTGATGGATGAATCACAGTATCAGCTTTCTCTGTGTAATTACTTTCTTTCACCAAGTGTAGGTAAGGTCTAGTCAACACAAGGACAATTATAACGAATGTCTTTCTTATTTCTTTGTGAAACCCCTCCCTTATATTTCCCAATTATTTAAAGAGACAAATATTCCAAAACCTTGTCAGGTGTGTCCCATTTCCTTAAATAAGGGAAAGGATTAATAAACTTTAAATAATGGCAGTAAAATAACTATGAACTGAGAAAATGAGAGAAAAAAATATTTAAACCTTAAAGCTACACTGTGGCTAAGAAAAAAGAAGAGTGGGGGCTATTCCTAGCAGATGGAACAGATAAAGAAAGTCCCAGAGGTGGGAATTAGGAAGACTGTATGGTATAGAACAGAGAACAAAGGCCCTGAATCACGTACACCAAATTCTAATTTTGATATTTGGAACGTGCTTTACATGTATAAGTTACTCGTGATGGTTTATTCTTT